GCAGCCGTGAAAGAGATGGGGTGTGCTCTGTGCTGTGCAGATGGGTGTCGGGGTTTCCACGCAATGACTTCCCCTTGCATGGGAAGTCCAGAGCCAGTCAGCAGAGGAGGGCAGGTGGGACAACACCAAATTACCTCTTTTCAGTCTAGTGGGAGCGACTGCCCTGTGCCCACCACAGGTCTGAGGCTTCTTTTTGTTTGGTTGGTTTTTTGTTGTTGTTTTTGGTCTTTTGTGTGTGTGTGTGTGTGTGTGGTTTTTTCGAGACAGGGTTTCTCTGTAGCTTTGGAACCTGTCCTGGAACTCACTCTGTATACCAGGCTAGCCTCGAACTCACAGAGATCCTCCTGTCTCTCCCTCCCAAGTGCTGGGATTAAAGGCGTGTGCCACCAACCCGTGGCCTTTTTGTTTGTTTGGTTTTTGTTGTTATTTTTGTTTTTTGGTTTTGGTTTTCTGGTTTTTGTTTGTTTGTTTGTTTGCTTGCTTGCTTTTTCAAGACAGGATTGATCTGTTTAGCCTTAGCTGTCCTGGAACTCGCTCTGTAGACCAGGAGGTTTGAAAGCTGGCTTTTGGCAGGTGAGTGACTGGGAGGACCAGAGTAGGGTGAGGAGGACAGGCATGCTTGACAGAAGTGATTCAAAAGATGAGCGACCAAAAGAGGGGCTGAGTAATGCCCACAGGTGGCGACCTTAGCCAAGGATGGCTGGGAAGCGCAGGAGGCGTGTGCTGCTGGAGTTTATCTCTACCTCATGCACTGCTGGGGCAAACTCTGATTTTCTTTCCATTTCCTTGGGCCCTCCCTTTTCAGTGTTCACACTGGTGGGCTTCTCAGAGGCCCGTCCTTCTCGTAGTGCAAATAAGGGGTGCCCCGAACCTTTCCTTTTCTGCCCTGTCTTCCCGATGTACTCATGTGGCTGAAGGACCATGGAAAACTTGCTCCATTGAAACTATGCTCAGAGAGCTGGAGACATGGCTCCATAAATACTCTTCCAGAGGCCTCGGGTTTGATTCCCAGCACCCAGATGAAGGCTCACAGCCATCGGGAACTCCCGTTCCAGGGGATCCGAAGTCCTCGCTGACCTCCGCAGGAAGTGTGTACACACAGTATATATGCAAACACAACACTCACGCATGTGAAGTGAATGAATAAGTCTTTAAAAATTTAAAGAGAAACAAACCAAAGAAACCATCAGGAAGAACTGGGAATGCCATTCAGCTGATGGAGTGGCCACCTAACATGCACGATGTCTCAAGCTCCATTCCCAGGACCACGAAAACTGGTCTGGTGTTGCACACCTGTAATCCTAGCACTGGGGAAGTGGAGGAGAAGGTCAAAGTCATCCTCCTACTTAGTGAGTTTGAGACCAACCTGAGCTACGCAAGACTGTGACTCAAAAAAAAAGGGGGGGGGGAGCCAGGGTGAGGTGGGCACTGTGACACAGGTCTGCCCTCACCACGCACAGGAAGGCTGAGGCATGGGGTTGAGAATCAGAGGCTAGCCTGGGCTACAAGGCGAGCAGAGGGGAGATCTGGACACAGTGTGCTATATGGGTCACTTTTGTACCACGTGACAAAATATGTAACCAAAACCACGTAAGGGAAAAGAGTTAATTTTGGATCACAGTTTCAGAGAGATCTCTTCCCACCGTGGTGGGAAAAGCAGAGCACAGCAGTTCTGTCTGTGCCCACCAGAACATATGGACACAGTTCACATCACGGTGGACCAGAGAACAGAGAAGGACTGTAACTAGGGGTGAGTATAACCTTCAAAGGCCTGCTTCCCAGTGACTTCCCCAAACAGTATCACCCGCTGGGGAACCAGTGCACACAATAATGCATTTACAGGGGCCCATTTTAGATTCAAATGCTAATGGCTGTATATATTAAATAAAATCACAGATGGGGCTGGTGAGATGGCTCATGGATAAAGATGCTTGCTGCCAAGCCTCATGACCTGAGTTTACTCCCTGGGACCCACATGGGAGAAGGAGAGAACTGACGGGCACAAATTGTCCTCCACACATATGGTATGGTATGGTAGGAGCTCCTCCAAAATAAATAAATGTGATTTATTTTGGGCATGGTGGCTCACGCCTTTAATCCCAGCACTTGGGAGGCAGCGGCAGATGAATCTTTTGAGTTCGTGGCCAGCCTGGTCTACAGAGCAAGTTCCAGGAGAGCCAGGGCTACACAAAGAAACCTTGTCTCAAAGAAACAAACAAAAACCATAACAAAATGAAAACACAGAACAAATCCCCCACCCCTCATCCTGTGTGTGTGTGTGTGTGTGTGTGTGTGTGTGTGTGTGTGTCTGTGCCTGTGTTTGCTAGAAGCCAGAGATATAGGCCTGTTGTCTTCCTCAATCACTCTTCATCTTACTAATCTACTTTTTGGTATTGCTGGGGATTGAGCTCAGGGTCTCCAAGTGAGAGACAAGCACTGTAATACCGATCTGCGTCTCCAGCCCTCTGCATTATGTTTGGAGACAATCTTTCTCTGAACCTGGAGATCGCTTAATGGCCAAAGAGCTTCAGGGATCCAGCTGTGTCTGCCTTCCCAGAGTTGGCATCACAAACACTAGCAGCTATGCCTGGCTTTTTACATGCCTCCTGGGAATCTGAACCCAGGGCTTCATACATGATCAGCAGGTAAATCCACTGAGGCATCTCTGGGATCGACTCACATCTTCTGGACTAATACTTTGTTTCTATATTTTTTAGATGTATTTATTTTATAAGTGTTTCAAATGCAGGTATGTGTGTGCACCATGTCCATAGTGCCTAGTGACTCAGAAGAGGGCACTGGATCCCCCTGAACTGGAGTTACAGATTGTTGTGAGCCACTACGTGAGTGATGGGAACTGAACTTGGGTCCTCTGCAAGAGCAACAAGCACTCTTAGCTGCTGAGCCATCTCTTCAGCCCTCCCCCCCCCCCCCCGAATATTGTTTTTGTTTTTAAAGATGTCTCCCCTTAGCTAAGTTGTGAAGCAGAGACAGGTCCAGAGGGACACATGTGTGAGCACTTGTCAGGTTGTCCGTCCTCTGTGTCTGACCCCTCTCACACCTTATCAGGGCCACTAGGCTCAGAGCATCACTGTACACACACACACTAGAGTCCTAGCAAATACTGTTGAACTCTTGGCTCATTCAGAGTTGGACACCAATTAACACAGAACAAAAATTCTTTTGAGACAGGGATCTCAATTTTCTGAAGAGCATTCATGGGCTGGAGAGATGGCTCAGAGGTTAAGAGCACCGCTTGCTCTTCCAAAGGTCCCGAGTTCAATTCCCAGCAACCACATGGTGGCTCACAACCATCTGTGATGAGATCTGGTGCCCTCTTCTGGCCTGCAGGGATACGTGCAGACAGAACACTGTATACATAATAAATAAACATAAAAAAAAAAAAGGAAAAGAGCATTTGTACTTATTTCCACAGTCAGTGCACAGATTTATGTTTTTAAAGAAAGGTTTTGTTTTATTTTGTGGGTTTATTTTTATTGGGGCTGGAGAGACGGCTCAGAGGTCAAGAGCTCTTGCGACTCTTGCAGAGGACCAGAAGACCCAAGTTCAGTTCCCAGCACTCACAACCACCTGAACTCCAGCTCCAGGGGATCTGACAACCACACACATGTGAGCATACACATACAAACATAAAAGATGTATTTTTAAATTGTGTGTGTGTGTGTATGCGCCAGAGTGGTATGTGGAGGTCAGAGTACAACTTTGGGAGTTGGTTCTCTCCTTCCATGTAATTCAGACATGGAACTTAGGTTTCAGTGAGTGTTTTATTGGGTGAGCAATCTCATGAGGCTTGTTTTGTTTATAGCCCAGGCTGTCCTCAAACGTAGTATTTCTCCTGCCACAGAATCCCAAGAGCTGAGTGGCACAGTACCTTTCATACAGCCATCAGTATGGAGTCTATTTATTCAAATCCATATTTGTAAAACTACGAAAGATAGAAAAACTGAACGCAATAAAATGTAGTTTCCTGAACCTTCTGTGTGACATACAGGATAATAAATAGATCAAGTTTTTTTTTAAAAAATTGATCAAGAACAGAGAGGAAGGTCTGTAATCGAAACTACTCCGAGGGTTGAGGCTGGAGGTTCACTAGTTTGAGGGATATAGCTCAGTGGTAGGGCAACAGGGTAGAATTTACCAATAAGGACCTGGAAGTATGGCTCGGCAGCAAAGAATTTTCCTAGAATCCCCAGGCGGAGGGGCTGGGGGCGTGGCTCAGTGGTAGCACCCCTACCTAGAATCTCCGAGGTGCAGGGGACGCGGCTCAGCGCAAAAGCACTTGTACGACAATGCACGAGGCCCCGGATTCAAAATGAAATGTTAAATCATTTTTAAAAAGCCAGTCTTTCAACTCCTGCAGCCGGGCGCATCATGAATCCTCCTCGGCTCCCAGGGATCAGCCTGCCCACGAGCATGCGCAGAGTGGCTTTACTCGTCTCCATCCCCCGCAGGGAACACTGCTGCCAACAGGGATGGGATCCGAGAGGGTGTCCAGGGCCCACAGGCACTGTCTGATGAGGACCCAGTTCCTCTGCCTGGCCCCGCCCCCTGCAGCCCTTTCAGGGCTCTGCCTGCCCGCTCGCAGCTCGCACCCTTCCAACCGCCCGCCTCCCAAGATGGCGACCAACCGCCTCCTTTCCCGCCCGGTGGCGGGTCACATGACCCCCCCCCGCCGGTCCCGCCCCCCCCGCAGAGGCCACGCCCCCCTTCCCCTAGGCCGCGGGGCGTCGGGCCCAGAGGCACGCGCCAGGAGCCCGGGCCGCACCGCACGGGGCACCGCTCGCGACGACGCGCCGGGCCATGCACGCGCGCACACCCCGTGGCAGGCGCACGCGCCCGGGGCCGGGACCGGGCTGCGCGTGCGCGCCGGGCGTCGTCCGGGCGCCTCGCGGCTGACGGGCGGCCGCTGGGAAGGCCCCGCGAGGCGCGAGGCACGAGGCCCGGCGCGCGAGCCCCCGGGGGCGGGTAAAACCCGGTTGCTGCTGCCCTTGCCCCTTTCCCCTTCCTCCCTAGCCCTGCCTGCCCCCGCGCTTTCCTCTCACCTCGACCCCTCTTCACCCTCTCCTTGGCTTCATCTTCCTCCCCAAGCGCAGGCCTCTGTGGCCCCTGCCCAAGGACGCCGCTCACCTCCGCGTCGCGCACGCTCCTTCTGCACCCCCGCAGCCCCTTCCTCCTTGGAGAAGGCTCTTGGGGTGCCCCCAGGCCACTGCACCCACCTTTATTTTCTACCCGGTCCCTGCCAGGCCCCCCAACTGCCCCCTCGCAGCGCCCCAGCTCGCGCCGCGGGCCGTACCCGACCTCTGTGCCTTCTGCACCGCGGCCTTGCATTCGCAGGCCCCTCTGCTGACCGCCCCCTTCCTCCTCAGGTGTCCCGTTTTGGGGGACCCGGATGTATCTCTTTTTGAAGATCTTTGAGCAGGAACAACCAACTCTCCTCTCTTCCTTGATCATGCCTCTCCTTGTGCTTTTTCTAGCAAAAATACTATTTTTTTTTCAGCCAAGATCTCCCCAATTTCCAGCAAAAAATAGGATAATAATAATAATATCGAGACTACAATCCCCCCTTTTGGAATACTTTCCCAATTACAAGAAACCAACTCATTTCTTCCAGTTTTTCATCTAATGTGTTCGCTTCTCCAAACCTCCCTTCTTACTTTCCCGACAAAAAATCCTTTTCATCATCAATTCTGCCACAATTAGATTGTTTTCCCCCTAAAAAACCCTCTAGGTTCCTCTTACCTGGCTGGGGTGGTGGGGAAGAAATAAGGTTTTGTTTTGTTTGTTTTTGTTTTTGTTTTTTAAAAAAGAAAGTAGTTTCCTCCATCTTTATCTCTTCAACTTAGTATTGCTTCATTTGTCTTTCTTCTCAATTTCATGCCTGTTTCCCTGCTTGTTTGGGGATCCAAGTTCTGACTGTCCCTTCCTTTTCACCACCTGTTTTCAGGGCAAAAGATATTGGATGAGTTTTCAAAAAATACCACCTCACCCTTCCAGGAGGAGATAGCGAAGGTCCGATTCCACCTGAACCCCCTTTCCTGTGGGGCCTAAGCCAGGCCCTCCTGTTTCCTGGAGAATCACTCACTTGCTTTTGGGGTGAGTTTCCTTCTTTTGCACCTGTTCAAAGACACGTGCTGTGTCGTGTGGATCACTCTTGCAGCGTTTCTGAGCATCTCTACACCAATATGAAGACCATACACGTTGCTGGCAAAATCAGCAGAAGGATAAGTATAAGCATAAGGGAATCATTGAAAGAGATCTCGGGGCACATGCCGGTTGACCTCTTCTGAGGCAGACTTTTATTAGATTGAAGTATGTTTTCATTGTTGATGTTCATTGAAAAAAAAAAAAAGCTTTTACCTTTTCTGCTGGTTCAGGGGTAGCAACTCAGATCCCTACAGGGACAAGCACGTGAGGGATCATAGTAGGGGGGATTATAACAATCCAAATTGTGTTCTCTCCGTTGAGTGATGACAGCTAGTGCAGATAACCAATCAGAAATGCCAGGCCAGGGGGACTGGAGAGGTGGCTCAGTGGTTAAGAGCATTGACTGATCTTCTAGAGGTCCTGAGTTCAATTCTTACCAACCACATGGTGGTTCACAACCCATCTGTAATAGAATCTGATGCCCCCTTCTGTCATGCAAGCATTCATGCAAATAGAGCACTTATATACATAAATAAAATTTAAAAAAAGAAATACTGGGCCGGATTTGCAAGAAGAGAACTTTTTTTTTTTTTAAGATAAGGCTTATAAACTGTCTTTATGTGAAAGTTAAATTCTAATGCTAAGCCGGGTGGTGGTGGTGCACCCTTTTAATCTCGGGAGGCAGAGCCAGGCAGATCTCTGTGAATTCCAGGCCAGCCTGAGCTACAGAGTGAGTTCCAGGAAAGGCGCAAAGCTACACAGGAACCCTGTCTCGAAACAAAACAAAACAAAACTAATGCTAACAATTAGCTTAATAGTTTACAAATGGCAGGGCAGGGACTGGAGAGGTGGTTTGTTGGTTAAGAATACTGGCTGCTTTTCCAAAGAATCTGGAGTCAATTCCTAGCACTCACATGATGGCTCGTAACCATCGGTTAACCCAGTCCCAGGGTCCAGTGCCCTCTTCTGGCCTTCCTAGGCACTGAACGAATGTGGTAGGAAGACATATATGCAGGCAAAACATACTAATATTTTTAATGGCAGGGCAGGAGGTGTAGCTCAGTAGTGAGAGTATTTGCCTAGCGTGGATGAAGCCCTGATGTGATCCCCAGCACTGTATAAAACCCAGTGTGGTAGTGCACACCTATCCTGCCAATACTTGGGAGATGGAGGCCAAAGGATCAGAAGTTTAAGGCCATTCTCTTCTATGAATTTGAAGCATACAAATGGGATACATATAACCCTGTCTCAAGAAAACAGTTTAAAAAAAAAAGGAAGAAAGAAAAGAAAAAAAGAAAGACAATGTGAGGCCTTAGAAAATATATTTTTGAGTTGGTTGTGGTGGTGGTGGTGGTGGTGGTGGTGGTGGTGGTGGTGGTGGTGGTGGTGGTGGTGGTGGTGCACACCTTTAATCCCAGCACTGGAGACAGAGGCAGGCAGATCTCTGAGCTCAAGGCTAGCCTGATCTACATAGTGAGGTACAGAACAGCCAAGACTATGTAGAGAGTCCCTGTCTCAAAAAATAACAAATAATATACATACATACATACATAAATAGGAAAGAAAATATATTTAACCACTGCCATATTTGAAGTTTTAGGCTTACGAATTTTGTTAGTTTTGCTGGGCATCCAACCCAGAACCTTGAGCATGCTAAGCAAGCACTCTGCCACTGAGCTACACCACCAGACCTAGAGATTTTTTTTTTTCCTGTAGGAAATGCACTCACCAGGGTAAACACACTTAGAGGACTTTTTCTCTTTAGAATATTAGGTGTTAAACTTTTGGGGTTGGGGATTTAGCTCAGTGGTAGAGCGCTTGCCTAGCAAGCGCAAGGCCCTGGGTTCGGTCCTCAGCTCTGGAAAAAAAAAGAAAAACGTTTGGTCTTCAGTAACCTGTTAGTTGGGTAAGGTAGCACATACCAATAATCCCCAACTAAGGCTAAGGGAAGAGAATTGAGAGTTAGGTCAGCCAGAGCTACACAGTGGGATCCTGATTCAGGAAAAACAAAAACCTTTAATTCTTGAGGATCTCAGAGGGTTTTTATGTAAAATATGTAGACTAGTATTTTTCTATTAGAATTTCAATTAAGTCATTGGGTATCTGCATTCACCCTCCTGAGATATTAAATATGTTGAAGATATTATCTCAAACATTTCTGAATTAATCTTTAAATTTACAAATCCATGGTCTTGCAATCGTGTACCATGCACAAAGCACTAAGTTTGATCCCCAGCAATGAAAAATTAAGATAGTGGCTAGACCTGGTGGAGCAGCCCAGCCACTCAGGAGGCTAGTATTAAATACGGTCAAATGTGACTTGCTGAAAGTTTTGTTGTTTGTATGAAGTATGCAGGACAAGAAATACATCAAGGCCAAAAAATCCGAGTGAGTACAGTGGGCCAGGCCTATGATTCCTCTGTCAGTAGAGGCTAGAGATTGTTTGAGTCTGAAATCAGCTTGGGAAACAGTAAGACTCTGTTACAAAAAAATAAGAACAGGCTGGGCATAGTGGTGGCTGCCTTTAATCCCAGCAATCAGAGAGGCAGAGGTAGACAGATCTCTGTGGGTGCAAGGCCAGCCAGAGCTACATAGTAGGACCCTGTTTCAAAACAACACTAAATATCACATTCTATTCCCTTTTTTTGTTTTGTTTTGTTTTGTTTTTCAAGACAGGGTTTCTCTGTGTAGCTTTGTGCCTCTCCTGGAACTCACTGTATCACAGGCTGGCCTCAAACACAGAGATCTGCCTACCTCTGCCTCCTGAGTGGTGGGATTAAAGGTGTGTGCCACCACTGCCTGGCACCACATTCTGTTCTTCATGACAAAATACAATAACAATGAAGCCATTGCTTGTGAATACATATGACATCTTAATTAAAAGCTATATGATAGAAAGTTTGAGTACAAAGGATTCTATTGACATGTTTCTACAGTCATGTATAGCCATCATGCACTCAGCTGAGACACTGTGTCATGTGTCTTCACTGAGAATAAAAACAGCTTTGACCTCTGAACTTCCTGAAAAATTCTTGGGAGACCCTGCATGTACCATATTAAGAAAAATGTAGTTGGGCATGGTGGCACACACCTTTAGTCCCAGTACTTGGGAGGCAGAAGCAGGCAGATCTCTGAGTTCAAGGCCAGCCTGGTCTACAAATGGATTCAGGACAATCAGGGCTATACAGAGAAACCCTGTTTTGGAAAAAAGAAGTTGAAAGGGCTGGTGACATGGAGAGATGACCTATCAGTTAAGAGCAATGGCTGCTCTGGAAGAAGCCTGGGATTCAATTCCCAGCACCCGCATGGCATCTCACGCTTATCTGTAACTCCAGTTCCAGAGCTTCTGACACCCTCACACAGACATACATGCAGGCAAAATGCCAATGAACATAAAATTAATTACATATTTTTTAAAAGAAAGAAAAAAATGCTGCTGCTCTAGATTTTTATTTTGTGTCTTCCCCTTTTTTGAAACAGGGTCCCAGGCTTGAACTCACTGTGTACTCGTGAGGATGACCTTGAACTCCTGGTAGACCTGCCTCCACCTCGACCCCAGTGGCTGGAACTGAGGTGTATGCCACCATACCCTGATTGTTATTCTAGATGTCAGTGCTTCTTTGCTAGGACAGCTTGTGGGAAGGAAGGAACTTCTGTGTCTCCTTTCCTCCTTTAGTTGACTCAATGCCAGAGATTTTCTTTGTGAGTGTCCTTCAGATTCCTCTGTGTCTCATTTTTTTCTTATGGCAGAGCTTTGCTATGCAGTCCATAACGGCCTCAGACTCTCAATTCTCTGCCTTAGTTTCCCATGTGCTAGAAATATAGTCATGTGCCACTACTACACAAGACAAAATCCAGTCTTTAAATAAGTGATCAGAGGAAACAAGTCAGTCCTCTGGTTAAAACCATATGGCTAGAAGAGGAGGTCTTCCTTGATTATTCAAGTTGACAGTGTAGGTACAGAGTGCAAGGCAGGAGTCCAATGTCCTGTGTGGGATAATAGTGTAGTCGAGTGCTTAATGTGAAGGCTTCCAGATCAGACTGCTCAGGGCAGGACTCTAACACTGAATTAGAATGAGTTATTTATCTGGGTTTTCTTTATGTCACCCATGACAAGGTTAATAATGTAGCACATGCCTCAGAGAGGGGTCAAGGGAACTAAAAATGGCATGTGAGTGATCTCAGCAGTACTTGGCATGTGGTAAAACCTCAATAATGTCCATGCGGTTATCATGAGGATGATCATTACAAGGGTCTGCCAGGGAGACAAGTAGAGACTATGGGCAGAGGAGGCCATGAGCCCTGGCTAGAGATAATAGTTATCTCTGGCTCTGTTTTGTTGTTCACTGTCAGGAAATATTAAATCTAATAGTTTACAAGAGATGATAGAAGTCTGTATATGTACAGGAAATCCTCTCTAATTGTGCTGTGATAGAACAAGGGCTGAGCATTTACACAAATGGTTACCACTGAGATCTCTCTCCAGCCCTTGATTTTTGAGACAGAATCTCACTATGTTGCTCAGACTAGCCTTGATCTTCTTATGACCTTTTCATCCAAGTACTGGGATGACAGGCAAGTGCCACTGTGCCTGAAAATAAAAGTCTCTTCATTTAAAAAAAATGTTGCTGATGAATCCAATAAGCAAAAACATTGTGTAGGCCAGAGAAAATGGGTCTATAGTTTATAATAGGCCCTATTTATTCATTTATTAGTATGTGGTTTGAGACTAGGTTTCATATTGCCTCATATTACTATATTTACTGTATAGTAACTGAGGCTGGCCTTGAACTCCTGATCCTTCTACCTAAGTGCTGCGATTGTAAACATCTGCTCTCATGCTCAACTTTATTTTATTATAATTATGTGTTTATTTATTTTGAGATAGGTTCTTACTGTGTCACCCTGGTTAGCCTTAAGCTCACAGTAATCTTTTATGCTCTCTTGAG